ATCGTAAAGGTTTAAGATTTTAAATTACGTCCAAGGGGGCGTTTTTTTTAATGTTTTGTGTGTTACCTTTATTTATTAAATATCACGTTCATTGCACTTAAACCATAAAATTCAGTTCAATAGCAATGTCGCAAAACAATTTTAAAATGAGCATATCTTTAGAATTTCCGATACACAGTCTCGAGTGCCAGAGATAATTTTTTTTTTTTTCTTCTTTACAACGTTGCTATGGCTCGCTTTGAAATCCTTGAGTTTGTTAATCAAAAATTCGTTAAAGTTTTACAAAATATGAAATCGATCATAAAACAAATTCCTAATTTCAAATTTGGTCTTCCAGATGCCCATATTCGTAGGACGATTACGTCATTCAAAATCCTATGGCTCTATGTACCGTTGTTTTATCACAATGCGAGAAATAGACATACATTTATGCATATTTTTCATTATTTCATTTCTTCAAATATAATGCAGAACTTTAACATTTGGTGGCAACAGTTTGAAAAGTGAAACGGACATTTATAGTGATTCAACGCAAAATCGCAAAACGAAAACAATAGTCCTTCGGGGACAAATCCCCTTTGGATTAATGATAATAAATAATTGGAGAATTGTTTAAATATGTGTAAATACATGATATTGATTAATAATTAAAAAAAAAGTGCATCATCATTTATTTGAAGAAGAAAACTCCAATTCTTCTTTACTAAAGTACAGATGCTCAAAATTTAACTTTCAAGTCTCAAGAAGCATTTCATTGGTTCATCATTTTTCACCTTCAGACGCAGCCTTATCTTAAGCAGCATTTGTAAGGTTTCAATATTTGTTTGTCACTGTAGGTTTTCAAGTATGCGCTTCTTAACAGATATTTTATCATTAGGCGACTGAATTTTAATGATAGAGAGGAAGACTAAGAAGCCGTAGAGACTGGAGTTTGAATTTTATTTGTTTATTTAGTTTCTTAAAACATACCATTTTGCAAAACTTAACTCACGCAAAACTCTATGAAAAAAAAAAAAAAAAAAAAAAAAAAAAAACTTGTTAGAAGATTTTTAATATGTCCTTTAACGGCTAATTTAGCTATTTCAAACGCAATTACAATATCATTAGATACGGAGGAAAGAAATTTTTTTTAATTAATTATAATTTTTCCAAAATTTGTTAATTTTGGAAATATGTTTAGCTATTAGTGATTAAAAATTTCTTTCTACCTGCTCCTTGTATATGTAGAGAAGACATGATGAAATGAAAAGAAAAGTAAAAAGAATACTTGTGAAAACATTTTACCCTCATTATCCTTCCCCCTCTTGTCCGACCGCGCGCTCATCTAGGTGGCGCTTTAACATAATCTTACTCAGTTACAGTTTCTAGATATATATTTTTTTTCTCTCAGGGTTTCCTCAAATACATTTAATCACAAAAATATTTCAAAAATTTTATTTAAGAAAAATATCTATTTGATAAAAGAAAATTATTGCTATTAACAAATGCAAGCATTTTTGAATAAACCATCATCACAAGTTTTACTGCATCTGTTTACTACAAATATTTCAGAACTGCAACATGTTTGAGAAACTGCTCAGTGAAAAATGAAATAAATGTTGGATGTCATCGCAAGGGCGTTCAGTTATCTGAAATTATTGTTGAAGTACAAATATAAAAACAAAATTTGCTTCGAAAAATCAGTAATTAATGCTAGTTTTCGAAAGTAAGATTTATTTCATGCAAATATTTAGTTGCTCGTTTGATTGAAATACTGCTCACATTAGAACGATAGGAGAGGGAAGGGAATTATAATAAATGTTCCTAGGTTTAGTACTATAATCAAAAATAAAAATTCCACCCAGCATAAACGTCTAAAGAAAGCAACACTGACCTATTAGAGAAAGTAATATGTCCGCTATAAACACTAGTGTTATTATTACTATTATTTAGATTATGACAAAGCTTTCGAGGACTATCTGCCTAAGCAAAAGCATCCTTTTGTGAAGAGTTTGCTAAAGGAAACTTTTTTATAATTCCATTGCGCATTGAGAAGGCTACGAAGAGTGCCATGTGGCCTTCCTGTTTCTCGGGATTTAAGCCCAGTGTTCAGCGGTTTTACCGCTTGACCGCTGGTGGTAACAATATCCGCAACTTTCCCACTTAATATTCGAAGAGATTTATTTCATAGAATCAGATTTTCTTTATATTTTATTCAAAGCAAAGGTGATTTAAACGTTTTGATACAAGTAACTCCTAACGATCTGTTCAGGCAGAGACTAAAGTTCGAATTTCCGACAAGGCAAGGACGTAATGCATTTGCAGCATGGAGGGACTTAAAAATCTGTCAATTCAAAAATCTTTTTGAGAAGTTGATGGGATACGAGATTCCTATATTCCCTTCCATTCTCCTTGTCCACATTGGTATTACCCTCAGATGGGTATTCGAGTGGTTTGTCTTAAAAAATAATAGAATCAACCAGAGAAAAGCTGAATTTTGAATACTAATTGTGTTTAAAATTTTAATATTAGTTTTTTAGATCACTTAATAACCTTTTGAAAGTCCTCCTTGCGGGATGTATCTCTCATTAACATTTTGTACATCTGTAAAATTTTAAAGCCTCAATGGAGAGCCGTCTAACTGAATTTCAAAATTTTCAAAAATAAAAAAATCAAATATAACGAACTATATGGATATCTATGATTGAAATGTTTTCATATTATTTCCAGAACTTCTGCAACTTGCATCAAAATAATTATTAACCCTTAAAATCATCCACATTTAGGATGTTAGGATCCACATTCCATCCGTAAAAGAGAACACCTTAACACTGCTTTTCTGTAATGTTCAATTTCACTTTTCTCTGCCTTCTAAATAAACACTAATTATGCGAAATCAGTGTGACACCCAGTTTAGCAGAACGAGGACACTATAAGGAAATTTTAGGATACCATACAGAGTTCTTTGTACGTGACCATTAAGCCAAAGAACGTACGTGGGTTTCTTTGATTCCATTCAAATTCTTTGACTGAGTTGTCAGACTATTCAAAGCTGATGCTATGATAGAAATTTTGAAATTTTTGCTATTCAGGGAAATAATAACGAATAATTCAGAGAAAGTAAGGAATCTTACGAGTTTGGTTTATATAGCTGATTCCTCTTTTAGGAAATGTAAATCTGTCCAGGAACAAATTTATCCATTTTACTTTAATTCCTACTGAGAGAATAGCTTCGGTTTACGAAACTTTTGGATGACGAACGGCTTTCGAGTATGAATTAAATTCGTAAACCAAGGCTTTCAGTTAGGCCAACCTATAAAACTTAACAAGAGTTCCTTTTCGCGCCTATTTAATTGCATCTTCTTATCTATTTAATATTTTATACTTGAAACGAAATATAGTCTTGAAATACTTTCCGCTAACAGTTCACCCTAAAATTCTTCTTCCTTACATGTATACCACATATATGCAAAGGACTTCCACACAAAATTTGGTTCACAATTTTTTATATGAGATTACTGAAATTTTAAAATGGAGTTTAAAATGGAAATTAATTGGAGAGATAATAAGACAAACAGAGGTGAATTAGGTTAACTTGTTAAGGCCGTTGTGTATACATACTGGTAATTCGACGCGGATTGGAACCCAGGGCAGGCTGTAAGGTCGGTCTTCGTGGTTTTTGCCTTGTGTAATGTGAATACGAGCCGGTTTTCTTTAGAACATCCTCCACGAAAGCCTTCCAGATAGCCCTCGAAGCTTTTCCATGGTTTTACTCTATACATAATAGAAAACACGAAAATTCTGACGTTCCGTCAGGCTTTGAACTAGGGTTGAACTCCTAGCGTTTACTGATCTCATTCACTTGTTACAGGTAAATTATTGCGACTTATCTCCCTTGTTGGACAGTAACCTAGCAGTAGGTTTGCTTGCATGGCAGTAACATCAGAACAAGCCCACTAAATTTATCGTAGCAAGGAACGCAAGACTGTGCCTGCCGTTGGCAAGAGCTCTGAGCACCACACAGGTGACATTACGATTTTGCTCAGTTCCGCCTCAATTTTGATGACAAGCACAACGGGGAATGGACGTGTCCGAAGATCTCCCACACCTGTTCCTCAACCATCAACCTCTCGAGCGTACTTTAGGTTCGCCGCATATTTAGAGTGTCCCCCTTGCCACACAGATACTCCGGGATTCGAACCTGGGCCCTTCGGTATAGCAGTCAGCGTCATTAACCACTATTCTGTTTGGGCGGTATATACGGGTGAATGCTACATAATACCCAATCTATAGTAATTAAAAATCTATGAACTGTTAGAACAATGAATTGATAAAAAGGAAATAAACAGATTCAGCACAGTACTTTTTCAGTCCACCTCTACAAAATACTTACATGAATTAGTAAATAAATAAATGAATGAATAGAAATATATTTATGAAAGAGAATAAGTGTTGTTTTAATCTAGTTAAATTTTTTATTCCATTTTATTTATAATTTTCGATTTATGCATAAATTTATTGAAGTGAAGAGCTTTAATTTCTTAATGAAATTCAGAATTTTAATATTTAAGCATCATTTTCAAGTTTTAAACCTGTTAAAAGCTGCAGAATATGTAGTTAAAAAATTTTGCCTTTTATTTTCAAAATTAAATTAAAAAAATATGGCAAATTAGGCTGCAATTATCGCAATAGAAAATGCAAGCGCATCTCATTTAAAGAGTAATCAATCGTGCATTCCATATTAAATGTAAAGAAAATCTTCCAATTTTGTTTTGTTGCAAAATAATATATATGGCACGAGGACACCCTCTTCATTCTGCTGTTGGAAAACTAGGTGTTCTATTATTCTTAAAAACTGCACATATTACTTGTCTGTAACTAAACAACGTCCCTATAAGGACTTCCATATGTCAAAACTGGGTAGTAACGAAACCTAAATTGCTTTGCTTTGGCTTCGATTTCAAGCCCGTTGGCGACGGAAATACGCTTCGCTGCTTGCAACCCTGCATTGGAGCGCTAACTGGAAACCGCTCTTGTCGCTTAGTCACCAATCATACTCGAGATTCATATTTGACCGTTTGCGGTGAATGCAAATCGGTGATTTTCCTAGTTAATTTACAGTCTCTGGTCCGTGTCATTCAATATTAAATGATATATGTTGTTCACTAAAGACCTAAGTTTATCATTCTTTTATTTCGTCCATTACACATTTCGTATTTCGCTTAAATTCTAGGAATTTGATAGAGAGGCCTTCGACCACCGGCTCAAGATGGCGGATACAGCTAACATGCTTGATGTACAAGCAAATCCGGAGCTAAGATATTTGATCGTTGACAGAAATTTTATCAACGATCCTTCCAAACAGGCAGAATGGACATCCAAAAAATTGATATGGGTCCCCCATGAAACGCAGGGCTTTGTTGCGGCGAGTATTGTGTCCGAGAAAAAGGATGAATTAGAGGTGGAAGTTGCTGAAACCGGTAAACGATGTGTTGTGAACAAAGACGATATTCAAAAGATGAATCCACCAAGATTTAATAAAGTAGAGGATATGGCAGAATTAACTTGTTTGAACGAAGCATCTGTCCTCTATAATTTAAAGGATCGCTATTATTGTGGCCTCATATATGTAAGTACGTTTAAAAATCCTCTAGTTGTTAAAACTGCTGTTTCTAATACTGACTGTTGATGTAAATATCATATATTAATGATGATAAACCTGTAACTTAAAAAATAGTATTAAATTTACAGTCGTAGATCTAATAAAACATGTTTCTCGTAAAAAATCGTTGCTATGAAAATATATCTCCTGATTGCAGTATAAATATGTCAGCAGGAAGCAAAAATTTATAATACAGTCCAAAAAAATATGTTCATTGAAATCCACTGCAGAAATAATCATAAATATTGTGCTTTTATATATATATGCTTCACGTCTTTCCATAATAATGTGACGATATTACCGTTTTTATTGTAAGCCGGTGTGATGCATTTGGCAAGGTAACACCCTAAACATATTTATACTATGATCATGAAATTTATAGTCTAAAATGATAAGCAAATTCGTGTATTCTGGATTTTAAAGTGTCTGAGTTATTGAACCAGTTTAAAATGGTCATAATGCTAAGTATGTACATTGCCTATCTTTGGCAATTAAAAGCTACCCTCCCACTTTCTATCCTTGAAAAAGCAGAAAAATAGGGTAATAATTAAAATGATGTCATTCCTAATAATTTGTTTAATATGGCAAATTATAATATGTAAAGCCCCAGTTCATAACTTAAGAAAATTTTAAAATGTACCATGCATTTGTAAAATATAATGTTTAGTTTCTTTTTCCATTCTGATTGGCATTAAAATATTGAACTTTTTAATTAAAAAATATTATGAAGAAATTCATTTCAATAAATGAAAACTATTATTTTTTGTAATAAATTAAAAACATACTTTATTTTTTTTGCAGTAGGTTTAGTAGATTTTACAGCATTTCTTTTATTATGGTTTACAACTTTAAAATTAATGAAAACAGTGCAGATTAAGAATTGAGAAATTAAAAGTGAAGTTATTATGTGTCTAATTTGATATGCCATTTAAATTGCTTGTTTTCCATGGAGGACAGCTGTTGCTGTCACATTGTGGCTATCCAAGATGTCATTTGTAAAGTTATCATGCTCACATACACACTCAAAACAGAAAAGAGAGGGGAGGGGGAGTTTTTAGTTGTAAAAATAGCTCTCTAAGAATGTTTAAATGGGCTTCCATCCCACGTAATTGTAAACAAACACTGAAGCTGAGTAAAGAGGAAAAGACTGGCAGATCAGTGCTCTTAAAAAAGTAGTCTTAAGTTGTAAATGATGGACTGATTTTTTTTTAAAAGTGATATAGAGTTTTTAGTTGTTATTTATTTATGTAACTAAGACAAGTGTAGCTTTGTGAAAAAGATATGTAATATTGAATTTATACGATAGCTAAGTTTTGATCTCTCTCTCTATATATAAAAAAAGGTTATCCCTCGGGCAGTCTGTTTTATATTCTTTCAAATTTTTCGAATGTATGAAATGCAGAACTATTAAAATGTCAGATTAAAATTATTTTTGTAGTATGGTGTTTTTTAAAGACTGTTGAATTATAGCATAGTTCATAAAATAAATGAATATTTAAATTATAATTTTAAGCTTGTTGGCGAGGGAATGCTTTTTTTTTTTTTTTGTTAATAAACATCTTTTCTTCCATTGACAATAATTAAGCAGTATGAAGGAAATCTATTGTTATTAATGAAATAGTGTACATATAATTAGCTTAACTTAAGTCTTGCAAACCATAAATGAACTTCGTAATTTAATTTTTTTTATTAAACTCAGATTTTCTCTAAAAAACTTTAATCATGTTTTAGGACTGTTGCAGTAAGTTTATGAATACATATCAGAATTATTTTACATGGTTAGGTTAGGTTAGGTTATTCGAATTCGGCAAAATCACATGGGCTATCCTTAAAAGAGGAGACATACTGTCAAAAAGGATGTTTCGATGAAACTGGCTCTTATTTACATTTGCACATAGAAAGAGCCACAAAAAACAATCATGCAGCCATCTCGTTCGCCAGGGATCAAATCCAAACAGGTTAACTGCCAATATTCAATGGTCTTAACCATTTGGCTAAGGTTAGGCCAAAATTATTTTTTTGAGCTATGATAGTCAAGTTATCCATCCTATTTGTTATATCTGCAAAAAAAATTATGAATATTATGTAAGTTATGTGAATTTAATTATTTTCCTGTAAAGAATTTTTTTAAAAAAAAATATGTCCCTCTTGGTATCTGTTGCATACTAGCTCATTTTATAATACTTTTGCACCTGAGGCCTTTTTTGCTTGGGTAAACCAGCAACTCGAGATGATTTTCCGTGTATTTGGTGAATTTCTTGCAGCTGATTTAAAATGATTTCACAGAAATCTTATGGTTCTTTTGTATTTGAAGGTACTTGCGGTCTTGCAGTTGTTTCACTGGATACAAATGATATTTTTTGCCATATTTCTTCAGATTCTGTGTACATTAATCACTGTCACTGTCTGTTACCCTGATATTTCTCCTTGGTACACTTCTTATTTCATCTCTGCTTTTTTTTCCTGTTTATCGTCTAGGCCTAGATGTAATTTTGTTATTCATAGACAAAAAATCAAACTCATCTTCACTTGAACTGATTCCTTTATTGTATTCCATTATTAATGGACTCTGTAACTCTGAAAATAATATTCCTTTTGCAATGACCATTGAGTTGAAACTAACATTGAAGATGTATATGTAACAGTAAATCTAAAAAAACAAACAAACAAAAAAAAAACATAGTTAAAATTAAAGATTGACAGTTGTTTTATATTCATGCATTGTTGAATACACTCATGAAGCGGTATTACCCAAACCTGCCTAAACATTAGTATCACTGGGATTATCATGTCAAACTGAGTAGCGAGTCCCCTCTCAAGTTACCATATTAAATTGAGTAGTGTCTAAGAATCACCTCTCGAGTATAAAAAGTTAAATGTAATAAACAAAAATTGTTACAGTATTGGCAAATTAAGAACAGGATCACTAAAATATTGTTATATGAATTCAATAAAAAATCTTTTTCTGTAATTCTTTATGTAAGTTGTTCAATGAGAATGCACCAATAGATAATAGTTACAAGGGGACTCGAGACTGAACATGTATTAGAGTATTTGTGTATGCATATTAAAGTATCTATCATTTGAATTTAATAATTTGCTAATTTGAATGTTGCCTTTTATCTGTTTTCTGAATTTTCTAACTTTGCATTTCTTTTATTTGTCTTTCCCCCCCTCTTTTTTCCTTGCCCCCCTTTTTTTAACGAAAAGTTAGTATATATTTAATATGTTGGTATATAGGCATTTAAAAATTAATCTGTTGCTAATAATGTATAGATACAACTATACGTTGAAATTTCATTTTGCATTTAATATTTACACGAAGCTAAGTGATTAATCAGTTATTAAATTTAGATATAGTGTTAAAGATTAAAATATGTATTTATGAATTGCTATTATATTTTAGAAATTTTTTTAAACATTTACTAAGTAGGCTGACTGTCTTTTGATTGTAGGCTTGTTTAACGCATAAATTTCTTAAGATCAGCAAATTTTCACAGTGTGACATTTCTTAATTGTTCATTCAGCCAAAATATCTTAATATTACCTCATCTGCTATTAAAGAAAGTCATGTGGATGTTCTTGAAAATGCACTAATGAAGAAGAATTGGTTCCCTGAAAAACTTTTTTATGTATATTCAATTCCATGCATTTGCTAACAGGTATACAGATAGAAGGATGAGGAGAGGGAGAAGCTTCACACTTAAGCAATTAAATATTTTAAGATACGATTATCCTTAAAGAATGTTTAAATTTTAGCCATTGAGAGCTGTATGAATTAAACTGATGTGCTAATTTTTTAGTTGTATCTTGAGTTAATGAATGTTCTGAGATCAAAAATACTTGTTCAAAACCTCATTTAATTTTTTTTTTCCTCCCCCCGGTAGGGGCAGATGTTTATTTAAATAAGTTTTATGGAGCTTTGTTTTTGATTGTTCTGTGGTAGAAATGTAAATGAATTTTTTCTCCTTGTATTGATCTAATCTTCTGATATCTATGTAATTCCTGTAAAATGTATATATATATCTGCATCAATGGATGAATCAGTGATAAGCATGATTACAGTATAGATCAAAGTATCTGGAATTTTGTGGAAAAACAAAACAAAAAACACCGTTTATTTAGATCTCTGTATTTTCATTTTAGTTAAGAGTGAAAAAGGAGTAAATGTTATTAATAAAAATTTGAAGTCTGATAATAAATCTTTTTAAGTTTTGAAAATGTATTTGCAGTGATTGTAGTTAAAAAAAGAAATTAATTAAAAATACTGTATAATTAAAAATTGTGCAAAGGTGTCTGTATTATTTTATTTTTTAGCTGCTTGAATTGATCTCCTAGCATTATTGCATACTTGTTTTAATTTATAAATATTCGTGCTTTATTTTGCAGTTCTGAAACAAAATTATGCATATTTAACGCATTAGAAACGCAACTTTTTCATTTTAAAGCCTTTTCTGACATTTTAATGTACTCGGTACTAATTCAAAATTCCCCCCATTTTCTCTTTCCATTAATGAGACACATTGCTTTCTGATCGTGGCTTTGCTCCAGGATTTGGCAGCTTGGTGTTCTGACTGAATAATCGCCAAACTGCGATACATCGCCAATTGTGTGTTAAATCTTTCATCTCCCCCCCCTTATAATGTTGATGTTTTCTTCCATTTATGTGATAGTATTTGGCGGTGAATCACTCAAGATACATTCCGCAAGTATTACCAAAGATGGAGAAAATAGTAGTAATGAAACGTGGAAAAGTTTTCTACTTTGCAGTGCAAATATTATAATTTTGAAGGCCAGAATTGTTGGCAAATTGGTATAGGTCATACTTGGTTTATAGATGAATATGTATTTAATGTGAGTTATTCGCTATGTAATACGAATGTGGAATAATTGTTTATATAGAAATTTAAAATATTCTAAATATTGAAATGATGGTAATTTGCGCAGTTAACGAGTTTGCAAAATTGGGAAAATATTTGTTTAGTTATTTTCATATTTATTCTTTATTATGCTGTTTCATTTTTTCAATACATTTACATAAA